TTCCCTGCTCTGCACTTTGGTCACACCCTGCCTCAGTTTTGGGCAGAGGCTGGCTGATGTTCTGAGTCTTGAATTTTCCACACAGGACACTCAAGGAGGCTGGGGATGGGAGCATTAGCTCTGGTGGTAAAGATGCGACCAAGGTCCCAAGTCAGCCCCACAATAGGAGTGTCTTGATGATTGTAAAATTTTACAAATATATGGAAGTGATGATAAGAAGTCTTCCAATGGTAAATACTTCAGTAGTTATCTACAGTTTGAGTTCTGGTTTCTCAAAACCACTGACTCCTTCTTGCTTTAGCTTAGACTCTTGACTCTGCGTCGTTCAGCTTCTGCTAAGGCATTTATTCAAGAATTGGCTATTGAAAGATTACGGTGGACCAGGGAGTAGAGAATACTGGTGAAGTGAGTGGGTTCTAGAGTTTGATCTTAGATCCTACTCTACTTGCTGTTTACGCTCAATTAATTGGCTTCATCTCTGACTCATGATAAGAGTCCATCTCAGATTGGCTTCCTCTGTAAAGGGAAGATAATAATGGTACCTACTTCATTGGGTTGATGTGAGGATCAAATGAGGTTATTCATGCAAAACTCAGAGCATAGTGTTTGGAGAACAGTGAGTGCTTGGTAAATGCCTTTGTTAGCATTGTGAGCAAAACCAGGCCCAGTCTCTAGTCTAGTTTCCTGGTCTCCAGAACACTGCCCAGAGATTTCATCTTCTGTTTCTTTGCTTCTTCCCAGTCCAGATATAAATCTTACTTTTCCACTCTAATTTCTTCTCCAACCTCTAGCCTGCTCTGCCCTTTCACAGCCCACGTTCTCCTGCTGCCTCCCTTTTTTTAATTAAATATATACTTTCAAAGCAACTGGATGACTAAAATGAAAAAGAGGCAAGATATAAACAAATGGATGAAGATGTGATGCATCCAGCTCTTTACTGTAGGGCCCGTAGGAGAATAAATCCATTCAACCAGTGAAGCCGAACACATACTTATCTTTTAGCCCAGGATTCCACTCCTAGGTCTGTACTCAACAGAAACATGTACATATGGACACCAAAAATCACATAGAAAAAATTTCACAATAGCACACTATTAGTCATCTGCTGCTGAATAACAGATTTCTCCAAAACTGAGCAACTTACAACCACAAACGCTTATTATCTCATGGTTTCTGTGGCTTCTGCAGTCATTTGCAAGAGGCTTAGCTGGGTGAAGGGCCAATATCTAGACCTCCCTTGATGAGAGACCTTGACTGAGTTAAGTCACTTTCTCTGAACTGCAGTTTGTACTCTGCAGAGCTGGGTGGATGCTAGCACTTGTGGCCTCACAGTGTGGTGGAGAATATCGGTATCATCAGGTACAGTGGAGTCTGTTGTGCAAAAGATTAAGTGCTAAAGTCGGGGAGTGATGTAAAAATCAAGTGTAAACAAAATTCCCTTGAAATTCCTTAGATAAGCCTTCTATCACTGGGGTGCCCTTGGAGGTTCAAAAGCCAGGAACCAGGAGTTTACTTCTTTTGTTTTTCTTTAGATTTCTGCCCTGGTCTTCCTTTCTGTGGGGCAGCTTAGGACAAGATTGGCATTAATGGCAGGGGAGGGGAAGAGGGAACTTCATATTCTCCTTATTTGTTGTTGTTGTTGAGGGCACCTAATTGAATTTCCATATTAAATATACCTTTACACTGACTTCAGTATATGTGAAAGCACTGAAGATTGTGATTGAGGAAATGTAAGTTATGACTCATCTTTGGAACAGGTGCTTTCCCCAGTTTATCCTGGATCTAGAAAGCCTTGTGGTTAATGTCAAGGTTAAACACAGCGACTGGTTAAAGCCTTTAATCAAAACAAAGGGCTGCTTGATGCTAAATGACATGTTAGGTCAATGAGTAGAGAAAGGAGCAGAGTTCAACATGAAATATTATAATAAATGGTAACTTTGCAGTTATCTGGTACTTTATAGTTTATAAAAGAATTTCTTAGAAAAATAACCTTATTTTAAAGATGAAGCTTAACTTCTCAAGATCATCTGACTAGTTTACCAGAAGAGGTAGGATTCATAACCTTATCTCCCAAGTTCAAAACCATAATACTTCCCAGGAGACAAGGATATCTCTTCCCTTTCTCCTCTCCTCTCCCCTTCCCCAACTTCTCCCCCTCCCCTACTTCTCCTCCTCTTTTTCTCCTTCCTTCTCCCCCTCCTCCTCCTCCTCCTCCTTCCTTTTCTCCCTCTCTCCCTCTCTCCTTCTCTTCCTCTCTCCCTCTCTCCTTCTCTCCCTCTCTCCTTCTCTCCCTCTCTCTTCTCTCCTCTTCTCTTCTCTCCTCTTCTCTTCTCTTCTCTTCTCTTCTCTTCTCTTCTCTTCTCTTCTCTTCTCTTCTCTTCTCTTCTCTTCTCTTCTCTCTCTCTCTCTCTCTCTCTCTCTCTCTCTCTCTCTCTCTCTCTCACTGGTGGTGGTACAAAGAAGTGTGAGGATTTATGATCTGGCTCTCCTGGGCATGACCACCTGTACAATCCACTTGACTTTGATCACCTTCTCTAGGCAAGACTCCCTAAATTAATTAAGACAGTGAGGTGGGAAGAGCAGGTTCTTCTGTGTGGCTATTGTTCTTACCTGGACAGAGACCTGCTCCATGGATGAGGTTAAACGTTGTTCCTGTGCATTCCGAGATATGTGGGTTTTGGGGGAAATCTAGCTAGCTGATAGAGCTAATTTCTGATGCTCCAGGATGGGGCCAGGTTATCATTTAATACATACATGCCTGCATCATGCTTATGAGTGCATTTAACATCTGCTTATTGATATATAATAAAATCAGTTGTAAAGACAAACATTGCCCAATAAAGACGCATGTTATGAGATCATTGTGATATCACAATTTAAGTCTGGGATTGATTAGGACTATCTCTGTGCATAGGACTATTTCTTTGCAGAGGCGTGTTCCCTTTAATGTGACCAAAGCTCCCTAGACAGGGCAAATCCTTCCCATACTTCCCAGGAGAACCCAGAAGTAGCCACTGTGAAGTGGATTAGGGAGGAGGGTAGGAGTGGGCTCAATGGAGACTCTTCACTGAGTTCTCACATCCACAATAGATGTGTCTGTCTCCAGATAGAATCTCATGTGAGTCATTACAATTTCAGCCATTCCATGGTGTTTCTTTTGGGACTCAGATAGCAGCATGAGGCCCCCTGGTGGCCTGAAATAATTCATGAGTTTCCTTCTCAGGCATTGAAGGGCAGGTGTGGCTGGAGAAAGACAAGGTAGTAAAGACTCACCTAGACCTGTGCTTACAGAGAGGCAGGGCAGAGTAGGATGACCTCTTTGGGGAGAGTTGAGAACTAAAATATTTTCTTTTAAGAGATGAAAACAGATGGACTGTAATTCTGGATAAACCACTCTGATTTTTCATTCAATAGTTCATTTAGCAAACACTACTGAGTACCTACTCTGTGCAAGACAATTTATTAGGCATCACATGGGGTAAGAAGAAATAAAGACACACCATACACTTCTAATGAGCTATGGATGAGTATAAAACGTTTATGCCACCAATGTGGTAGAAATGCAAGTGCCCTCAGAGAATAAATGAGGTGAAAGGGAAGGCTTCTAGGAAGAGGTGGCATTTCAGCTGGGGCTCTAGTGAGAAGCAGGATTGGATCTATTGGGACAGAGAGGGAAAAGATGGCACCTGCAGGAGGAAAAACAGAAGTTTGAACAGACATCAAGAAAAACGAAACCCAATCCAGGAAGCGTGACTAGTCTGGTCTGACTAAACTCATAAGGAGTTTTCGGGTTGCAGGGAGAGTGAAAGCTGGATACATCTGTTTGGATCAGACCCTGGAGAACCTTGAACACTTGCCCGAGAAATTTCTTCATCAAGCAGTTGGAAGCCTTTGAGTATCTTAGAGCAGAAAAGATGCATGTCGCAGGATAGACTCCCGTCCACCGAAACAAACACAATGCCATCCTGTTGTATCTCATCCAGAGGAGTGTTGGTTTCCATGTGTTTAAGGTCATCGTTCTCTGCTCTCCTGGAATCAACAGCTCCAGACTCTTTCTACCACGTGACCTTCAAAGCCAGGAGTAACTAAGCCATCAAATCATCCCCCTTAGCAAACTACCAAGTGCCAGGGAGCGGTCAGACCCAGAGGTGCCCGCCATGTTTAACTCGATTCCTTGATAGAACGCCTTTCATCCAGAGGGCTATGCTAGGTTTGTTTTGCCCGGCCTTGTTTTTCCAAGGTTTTATAAAAAGGCTTTGTACCTGTTTAGTTACATGTGGTTTAAACTACATGGACCAGGAATATTTCTGGCCAGCGTTATGGGGCCAAGTCCTAGCCGTGTGTGGAATAGCTCGATGTTCACAGAATTGAAGCAGTAACCGAGAACCACCACAATGAAGCAGCCCAAGAATCTACACAATGTTTGGCACATGGTTGGTGCTCAAAAATATTGCAAGCAAATAGTTAATGACTGATTCTCCAATAAATATGTAACACACATTTAACAACACATTATAAAACTCCAGGCATTGATTTTCTCATTGTAATGGCATAAAAATCCTTTAATATCCAGTAAGAATAATTAACAGTTTTCGATAGGAGTCCTGAAAAACATCATATATAAAAAATTAAAATCTTTGCCTTGGCTGGGTTTCCCAGGAGGTTGGAGCATTGTCCCGTACACCGAAGTGTTGCAGGTTCTACTCCCAGTCAGGGCACATGCCTAGGTTGTGGGTTCGATCTCCAGTTGGGGCGCTTATGGGGGGCAACCGATTGATGTTTCTCTCTCTCCCTCTTCTTTCCTCTCTCTCTCAAATCAATAAAAAGGGTATCCTTGGCTAAGGATTAAATTATAATAATAAGATATAATGAACATCTAGTTAAGTTAGGAGGAAGCAACATGCCCATTTGTGAGAAACACAGTTGAGACACTTGTAGATGAGGCAAGGGAAGACGGGCAATTTGGAACTGTAATGAAATAACTGCAACAGAAACAGCCATTTAAGAAGTGTCAGCAGCAATGAGTATTTATTATTTCGAATGAAATGTACATTAAACTTTTATATAAAAATCATCAAAAGTGCTATATTGGATTATTTTAATATTAATTTAATCCCCTCTCCTATGTCATCTAGTAGTTATACCCTTCACCTCTTTTTGACTTTTGATACATCATTACAATCATCTAAAATTGTCCAATGTTAAAACATAAAAAATATTAGTTTATTCTTCAAGAGAAAGTACCACCAGTCAGTCATGAGTTACTGAAAGTAAAAAATAAAACAGGTGCCAGACAATCAACTGATTGAAAAAAAGAAGTTATCGTAGAATTTCATAGAAGTTTGCCAAGTCCCAGGCCATGGAGTCTCTCGGCGGAACATTTTTATGATACAGCTTCTTACGCCTGCGGGTTATTTCATGTGGAGGCGGGTCACTGGTGTACCAGAACCATCCAAGTGTTTTCTTGGCTCCTTTCCAAGGTGAACCAAATGTTGTCTATAGCTGCACACCTCCCATGACCCCGACAAGGTCTAATGTGGAGAAAAAGCTGATTTTGCAATCTGAGAAATAGCCCTTAGAGTTAAGTTTGTCGTTAAAGAAGATACAAGTCATTTCTTGCACATGAAGACCTGCCCCCCCACCCCCTCCATCCACCCCCATCCCCCTAGTCCGCTTCGTGCCCAGTCCGACCTCTCCCACAGGCGGGCGGGTGAAGTGGCTGACGCAGAAAGGCAGGCTGTGCAGGCCTCAGGCCTCCCTTGGTCTCCTTCAGTCCTAAGCAAACAAGCTTCTCCGATTTGCCATGAGAGCTGTCTGACTCTCCCGTCTCTTGCCTTTCTTGTTCCTCTGCCTCAGCTTCCAGCACAAGGCGCTGGAGGCCAACAAAAAAAGTCCCGAGGAGAGCAGGATCAGGCCCAAGATGGAGATGATGGAGCCGTGGGAATTGAAGCTGTAAGCCACGGCAGTGACCACGATCCCGGTGATGAGGATCACCACGGCGAAGGGGATGATGCAGCGGTAGCAGGAGAGCTCAGCGCCCCCGGTGGCGGCCATCAGCTGGATCTCACTGACCACGGGGACCGTGGTGACCACGACTTCTCTCTTGGGGCTCTTCTCCGTCGTCCCTGGCGTGGGAGACGTTGGGGTCCTCAGGATCTCCTTGACGGGCTCCTCCGTCATCTTTACAGCGGTGTGTCTCCTAGCTGAGTTCACAGACTAGACCAGGGGGCTCTCGCCAGGGTGGAGACTGTGGAGAAGACAGGAGATGTCAGCTAAATGCATGAGAGCGATCCCTGCAAGGAACAGGACAGAGCTGTGGAGACACCACTGTGTCCTGTTCTGAAGGGAAAATGCACATGAAAATAACCCCACATTTCTGTTTCTAATCCTTTGCATTTTGTTTGCATCGGGCAAAAAGCAAGATAACGCAGATCACCATAAAGATACGGAGATGTGAAAAGCAGGAAGCACTTTGCAGTGTTTAATAGACCCTGGCGGTCTGCAAATGTTTTACTAGCCTTTCCTCCTTGCCTATTGCCTCTCTTTCCTCTAAGCACACCGAAGAACCTCAGTCCGAATCCAAAGACCTCGTTCAAGGAGGCTACTTTATAAACAATACTTCGCACCGTTCTTTCCACGACTCACAGCAACTTAGACTCTGCCAGCGTTTCCGGGCATGCCATGCATTCTTTCCAAACTCTCACCATTCACTGCCCATTGAGCCAACGTCAAGACCAGAAGCCAGCGTACCAATGAGGTTCTTCTACCTCAGCCAGCCAGCCGGCCAGTCTTTATTGTGTGACTACTAAGCCCAGGGCACCACGTGTCCTGGGACTTGGGTGAGGAGGCGGCTCAGTAAAAATTCAGTGACAATGAGGCGAAGATGTGTGGATGTCACATGTGGCCGTATCCTCCAACCCATGTGACAGGAATGGAAAAAGGAAAATTAAGAAAGAAAATCAGAAATTTTGGAGGCTATCATGGGACACTTTTATACATTAAAAATAGGATCAACTATTAGGGTATTTTTCAAATTTTCCATTCAACTGAACAAGGATTGTTGATATTATGTGTACCGTGACATGTTGGGGGGGAAGGGGGAAGCTAGGTTTTCAGGAAAGTTTTACAAGTTCATTTTGTTCCCATGTTCCTCGGTACAAGACTTTCTGCGATGCACGTCTGTAAATATTTTGAATCTGAACATTTCTGCACAAAACCGGAGACTCCACCAAAGGCATCTGGCTGAAATGCCGTCTATGAGAAATCAGTGTAAACTCTTAACTGCCTCTCTGACATGTTAAGTCTTTTTTTTTTTTCCCCCCCCTCAGAAGCCGTCTAGGAGTAAGTTATGCAGTTTAAACAAAGATTAGGGAGGCTCTTTCAACGATTAATACTTGGGGCATATTAAGCTTCCACTGAGAACAAATTCAAGCTCAAATCAAACCCTGAGCAATGAAGCTAAATATACGAGAGCTATCTATTTGCATAAAAATTTTAGTCACCCAATTAATCACTGCTGTCCAATGACACCCTAAGTATTGGCTGAGCCAGTAAAAGGATTTTTGAGATGATGTCTGAAAGAAAAAATCTTCACCCCAAAGCTGAGCTGTAACCTAATCTGAAAAGGAAGGTCTGTCCCCAAACTACTTACCCGTTTCTCAGGGAGAAGCAATCCATTACCAGGGAAACCACGCCGCTTGGTTGGGGAGGCGGGAGAAACCTCAGAGCCTCAGCTTCTTCTGGTCAACTTCTGGGAAAAGAGCCCGTAACAGCATGTCCGTCAATGAAATAAACCTCCTCTGGGGGAAAAGGAAAGACACGAAAATCCTGAATGATATGGTCAGTTTCGGATCCTGGAGCTCTTTCTTTCCCTCTACCTCTGTTCCTAAATGACGCTTGTCTTTCCCTCCTCTCTCTCCTTTTATCACCTCCCCCTCTGATGGCCCCTCCCTGTCATTTCCCCCCCACTTCTTTCTTTTCCTTGCCAGCAATTCTGAGTTTTGCCTCCCCCCCCCCCCTCCCCCCCCCCGCCAGTGACATGATAAGTCTGAATCGTTACCGAGTCCCTGGAGATAGGAGCCAGCTTTTACTTCATTTCTCTCGCAGCACTGACTCAGTAGACTGCTCTGCATTACTCATGTTTTCCCCAGCCAACCCCCAGACCTGCCTCGGGCGCTTCAAGGCATTTTCATAAGAAAATCCCTGAGTCCGCTTTGCAGACCCAGAGGAGGGGACAGAGCCTTTAGGGTGGCAGGAGCAGCTGCGAAGTCCTCGGGCAGCTGAATTCAGCCTGTCAGCCAGCAAAACAATCTGTGTTCCTAGGCTTCCCCAGTATCCTTTCTTGACTTGCGTGTGCAGGCCATCGGAAGCTTAAACCCTCTTGATGGTTGTTAATTCACTGAGAAACAGGGTGGGAAATTCAGATGTTTGCCCTAGGAGGGAAAAGTAGCCATCTTGGTCTACAGATGATGACTTATTACCTCTAGGAGGAGGTCACTTTGGCCGTGTTGAAATTATCGTCATCATTGGCATTTGCAGAGCTTCTCCTATGGGCTGGGCACGTGCAGTGTGCCCGCGTGAGCATGAATGCTCCCTGGTTTACCAGTGAGTTCATAACTGAGTTTATCGATAGTTTATCAGTGAAGCCCAGAGAGGGTAAGTAATCTGACAAAGGTCACACAGAAAGAGAGAACTCCTTGGCTCGAACCCTAGTCTTTAATGAGGATAAAAATCACAAGGGGGGCAAGGGTTGTTAAATGTAGATTCTGATTCATGGGTCTGTCACAAGGTCCTCCCTGTGAGGATTTGGGGCTCCTTTAAGGAGCAAGATATTTTCAACATTCAGACACCTCAGGCGTTAACACGTCACCCTCTCAAACAATAAAGTTAAAGACCCACTTCCCACCCCTCTCCCTAAATGGCCTTATCGGTTTATACTTTATTAGATAAGCTGTTTCAATCTTAAAGTCCCACGTTATCGTTTTGAGGGGAAAAATGGATGATACTGGGAGACTCTTATAAGCTGGTCCCTATACTTGTACAGCTAAAAGTTATCCATCCTTTATTTTTTAATCTATACAAGTTTCAGTAACTTCTTTTTAATAAACCCAGCAAATCTACACACCTAGATTAAATCTCAGAAAAGATTTCCCCCCCTTTTTTTCAAATCTCCGATGTTAGATCTCTCTGACTGCTGGCAGAGGGCTTGGGCACTCACAGGCATCTCACCTCTGTCCTATGAGAGCCTGCTCCTTCCAGCCTCATCCAGCAACAATACCTGGACGATCTTGTCATAAAGGGGGAAGGACCAGGTCTTTTCTCTCTAGAATGGAGCCAGAGAGGGCTTGGGCTTCTTCATTTTGAAGCATAAAGTTGACAAGTCCTTGAAGAGGCTGAGGGAGGGATCCCAACCTGCTGGGGAGGATGAGTCCCTCAAGGGCCTCAGCTGCCCCCATCCTCACCAGGGAAGAGGCTGTCACGTGGTGCTGAAGATAAGGAATACTTAGAGCCAGCCATGTCAGCACTGGCCATCATTGTTCTGGGAAGATGGTGATTCGGGGATGGGGGTTGGGGGGGAGGGTCCACTGGCTACATAAATTGGAGATTCTTCAGACTCTCTTATAAGAGCAGCAGTCTGCCCACTGCAAACTGGCCTTTGGGGGCAATTCCTGTCTACTTCCTAGCATGGGCTGCCTTCCCCTCAATAGTGCGATAACCCCACTGAAGGTCAGAATATCACCTTATCCTGCGGAAGCTCCCGTTGCCCCATTACCAAAGTCAAAGGTACATGAATCACCCAGAGACAGCTTCCCACCCCCACCCCCCCCCCTCCAAGAGCCTACGGCCCGTCTACAAGGAGGGGCAGTGAGTGTACCCTGCGCCCCGAGCCTGTGGGCAGGTCTGTCATTACTTCTAACAGCAGAGCTTTCTTCAGCCTCTTAGACTTCAGGTGTCATATTCCCCCTCGTTCTCCTGCCTAGACTCACAGCTGCCCATCTCCAGAGCCTAAGTAGATAATTGGGGATTTGCAGTGATAAACCCACACAAGTCAGAAGCCTTGGGATCAAGCAGAAATCGTACCTGAAGAATAACAGTACCACGCTAGCGCGGACACACATGCAGTTTTAACAGTCTTTTACCTCTTCAGCTGGAAATTCAAAGCCAGTTCCTAGTGATCGGCGCCTGATGCCTTTGAATGCACCCCCGCCCCTTTTTTCTACTCTGTGCCAATACGATATCAAACACTCCTGGGAACTTCTAAAGGGACACCTGCCCCCAGTGCCAAACCTCATCCGTAATGCAGCTAGCCTTCTCCCTGCAAGCCTGCTTTCCAAAGGGAGAGCAAGGCTTTGGGCTCTTTTTAAAGCTCAGGGCTCCAGGAGATTCCTTTACATTCAGAAAACGTCTCCGAAAGCTTCCAATCAACCCATCCCATCTCTAACCCCCTCTCTCCACCCCTCCCTAGGCATTCAACAGTTCTCCCCCAGAGCTTTCAAAGAGCAAGGCAAAGATCCTTACCTTTCCCAGCCAGAGTGGAACTGAGACAGCTGCCAGCCCTGGCCAGCAGCAGCCCAGAGAGGGAGATGCAAATGACGGCCCTAGGGACCGTGGACAAAGTACTCAGGCTCACACACAGTTAAGGGACCGGAGAAAAATTGGCGAGAGGAAATCCCTTCCGTGCGGCTGTACATATTTTTTTAAAAAAGGGAACCAAGTTTGAAAAGAACGTTCTTCTTTGTTTTTCTCTATTTCTATTCTCTTTCCAGGCTTTCATTTTTCCAGGTTTTTCCCTTTTCCAAAGCTCCTTCCTGTGACTGTCCCTCTGTAATACCTGGGACCTGCAGAAGGGATTTTATCATTCCCCTTCTGTGCTTCTAGGTGGGTGCGGGGCTTGGAACACGGGTGGGGGATGGGGAGTGGGACGGTAAGTGAGTCTCTTTCCCTGAAACCTGTAAGAAGAGGAGTGAAGAAAGAGAAGGGTTAATGGTGAAAATGGCATTTGTTGCTTTTTGTGGACAGTCTCCCTAGCAGCAGAGTGGTTTTAACTGCTCCTCATAGAGGATGGCGAGCAGATTAGGAGGGAACTGGGCCACCTTCCACCTAAGGCACCACTAACAACAGGACCCAGAACACTTGCTGTTCCAGAGAGAACTCCCCGAAACTGGACAAACCTCGGTTTACTTAGAAACAAAGTCATTTAGGTGAGAGGATAGAGAAGGGTAAGAGGGCAGGGATCTGGCGAGGACCGTGACCGAGAGGAGACGGGGCCTGTCTCCCTTCAGTAGAAGCCAAAGCTTTTCGGTCCCTGGGTCCGAAAGGCGGACAGTCCGATTTTGCTCCGGAGCCATATGCGTTTGAAGACCTGGAAATTGCTCCTCGGGAAACAAACACACTCTGTGAGGAGCAATGCCATGTGCATTCGATGACGGGCTCCCATGCACTTTCGGTTTGCTTTCGCTTGGTGTGGTGGGGCTGGCCCCTTTCCAGCAGCCCTGCAGGTGCCAGGTCCTCCTGGCCCCCTGTCCGGCCTCTGCGTGCCTTTGATCTCGGCCCTCACCCAGCCCACTTGGACTCCGTGAGATGCAGGAAGCTGGCCAGGGTGCTCCGTTCCAGGGCTTCGTTGAAGGGCGTGTCTGCGTTTATGTTCTGAAATCATGGACATTTGGGAAAGTGATCTGTGCTTGCGTGTTCGTTTTGGATTGCAGGTCGTGTTATTATTGCTTCCCTCCCCCGAGGCACTTTGCTTCGAGATCTAGGACATGAAAGAGAGAGTTGTGATAGTACCAAGAGGAACAGTGGGTATACCTTAGGTATAAAATGTGTTTGACTATTTTCTGGTCAATTTCCAGGTACCAGAAACTCATAAAATCCATGTGTCTCCAGACAGGAAAACATACTTCTTTTAGGTACACATCCGGGTCACCGTTCTCTTACCTGTTTTGTGCTGAGTCACTGTGAAAGATGACATAAAACAAAACCAAACAAAAAAAAGAGTCACTGAAATCAAAGGACACAGTGGGACCTTCGGGAGGGCCAAGTAAATCATCTCTCACTTCAACAAAAACTGTCATTCTGGCCTCAGATGAGAAGAATTGATTTTCTTGTTTCAAAATCTGAACCTCTGCTGACAACGCTACGCTCCCGATACGTTCCCAAGCAGCTTGCATCATCCTTTACATTCATGTACATTATTCTTCGAGGCCTAAGATGAGGAAGATCGGTGGTAAAGAGTTTTAGCAAATTGGGCTGACACCTTCCCCAGTCAAGGGCATGGCACCTGGGTCAGCCTCCCCCAGTGGGCCAGGGGGTCATGGACTCAGGGGCCTGTGGAAAACCCACCACACTTGTCTTTTCCCAGGAAGGGAAGAAAAAAGACAACCATGACTCACCCGTTTGCTACTCTTAATACCTGATAGTACGCCTTTCTACAGAGCAATCTCCCATTGGCCTCTGGTGACATTGTCCCTTGTTCTCTCCATAAAATGATGTGCACATCGTGTGACCTCAACCGACTCCTAATCAGCACATCATTTCTTGGTTTTATCATCAGTTTGGTGCTGGGTGATTTGGAACCACCCTGCCACCTGTAAAACACCAGTAACCTATGCGCTCCTGCAAGAGTCAGTTGGCTTTCCTTGGTTCCGTGTTCATCGAGCAGAATAAACCTCAGACCTGATCCCAGTCGTGTCGTGCTGGTCTTCAAAGGACTCCCACAGGCTGGGTGTATCCGTGCTGGCCCTCCCCCACATAATCAAAAATGCAGTTGAAACCATAGATTTTAAGCTCTGCGCTTGGGTAAGAGGAACATCCAGTATATTTTCACAAGTAGTTTTTGCTATCTCCATTTTTTGGAGAAAGAACTAAGGTGAAGAAGATGTCCTTGTCCCCAGGTTTAACTCCAGGGCCTGG